GTGTGTGTGTGTGTGTGTGTACCTTGTCAGGACATTACATTCTTGTTTTGTTTTCTATTTTTTCAAACATATCCCAACAAGATAGGAATGCAGGTGTGGCTCATATTAAGGGAGGGTGAAAAAAGAAACCAGGCGATTGAATTCATGAACTGTGTGGTGCTTCTTCTCTTGTTTGAGAATGAAGAATAGCTTCCAAGTGCTATATTCCTTCACACGTGTGTCCTCTCACCTCCGCAGGGCCGCTGCCAACGGTGTCAAAGAGAACCCATGTGATCATCCCTCTGGTGGAGGAGGTGAAGGACGATCGTTGGGAGGCTGCCGTTGTGAGACAGGATGACAAGAAGATAATGCTGTCGGTGAATTCTCCCCCGACGGCCGTCATCGGCCGATATCAACTCACCGTGGAAACGACTTGTGCAAACGGCCAGGCTGTCTCCACACATGACCCGGCTAATGACATCTACATGTTGTTCAACCCCTGGTGTGAAGGTAAACACTGGAGTTAAAAATAGGACACATATAAGGTTGATATATCTGGTTCATATTCAGGGGGTGGTCAAAATAAAAGAAACACCAGACGATGCAGTCATTTAAGGATGGCCTTCTCATACCAACACTACTTTAGGAGCAGCGGAAGTCAGACAGTGGCTGGTGGTACCACAGTTTTGCATTCTGCTGCTCTGGTTACCACAGAAACAAGGCGGACTGTGTGAAGACCCGCTCCCTATTTAGATATGAAGGTCTCATTCTCACGAAAACACAACAATTCTTAGTTTCAGGTGATTATACGCTAATGAAAACATAGTTATGAATGTTTTATTCCTTTTCTGCAAATGGATCCCTGAAATGCTACATGCATCAATCATTTAAGAAAAATCCCACAAAAAGAACAATAAATGTTTTGCCATACCCTCTGAAAAACCTAAAAGCATCACTTTTAGGTCCCTTGATAATCTGACTAGCGTTTCATCTCGAAAAGGCCACAACAGTGTTCACCATCATTTCAGAGGAATTGTGAAGGAGGCGGAGGTGCGCTTCAACAAGACTTTTCTCTTTACTTTTGCTTAAACAAAAGTTGTAACGGGAATTCTTACGTTTTTCCCAGAAAACCTGAGAAATACAATTTTAACAAATGGACACTCGATACAGGAATTTTGTATTGTGAAGTGCAGACATAAAATCTGCAATTAACACAAATAAAATCCATACAATTGTAATGTTAAGTTATTTCTCATTTTTCAGATGTTATGTTCTTTCTTTCAACAGTGACGATGCACAATTAACCTTTTATATGGAAAAAGAGAGATGTAATGTACCGAGTTTTTAGCAAATTAATATTTTCCACCCGTACTCATGGGCAGGTCGGTAAAAAACAAAATTGTGAGGAAAAAATAGACATTACAAGAAGATCAGTTATTAGAATAGTACAAAACTCAACCTTCCCCCTCCAATACACACAAGATTAGACATTCAAAGCGTCTCAAATACAGTACTGAGGTTCTCAGTAAAAGTATGCAAACACCCACCACAATAGTACAAATGTTTGTTGTGTCAGATGGGAGAAAATGTTCTCACTTGTTCTCCATCAGATGACACAGTGTTCCTGGATTCTGAAGACGAGAGGCAGGAATACGTCCTGAATGACATCGGACGGATCTACTACGGCACGTCCAATCAAATTGGAGTGCGGACGTGGAGCCACGGACAGGTGAGTGGGCTGTTTGATCGCTCCGTGTTTGGTGGACAGACCGAGCGGCAGAAACTGACCGTTTCCTCTGTTCTGGTTTCAGTTTGATGTCGGGATTCTTGCTGCCTGTGTCTTTGTCCTGGAGAAGAGTGGAACTCCTCGGTCTGGGTGGGGAGACCCCATTAATGTGGTGCGAGTCATCTCAGCCATGGTGAGACTATTGTTCCACGCCTGATCAGCCGACCTTTGTGTTTCTCTAATGTGCTGGTACGCAGTGGAAACCCTGTTCTGTGCCATAATGTCAACACCTATTGGCAACTACCGGCTGGATCGCCATGACATTTTGTACCGACATTCATTGTCCCCAGAGGAGGAATCCTATTGATCTTGATTGGTACCATGAATTTTGTACAAACATTCCCCCAATGATGAACTGTAGTAATCCACCATCATCACATCAACATTTTCGAATTTTTCCAATACTTTGAGTGTTGTGTTTAGCGCTAATTAGCAAATGTTAGCAGGATAATATGCACACTAAGATTGTGAACATTACCTGTTCAACATCAGCATGTTAGCATTGTCACTGTGAGCATGCTATAGTATCGTAGTACAAAGCACACATTTTATGTACTTATTTCTATATAGATTTTATTCCTAAAAAAGAAACTGTAGTGTTACACAATTTCCTCCCCGGAGATCAATTAAGTATTTCTGACTCTGATGTTAGGCCTGCGGTTGTAAGCATTTAGCTCAAAGCACCCACCTGTCATACAAATACACATAATCAATTGTTTCATGGGCTTTATTGAATGTAATTGAGAGTGAAATATGTATGTTATTAACTAAAGGTAGATGTTATTAAAGCCGTGCCGCAGGGGCCGGGTTTCTACTTTTCGGGGAACTGAGTTCATAACTTAAAACTCTGAAGTGTAATAATCCACATTCTTGATTTGTCTAGATCAACTCCCCTGGTGACAGTGGAGTCGTGGAGGGGAACTGGTCAGGAGACTATTCAGGTGGAAACAGCCCAACCGTCTGGAGTGGAAGTGTGGAAATCCTGAAAGAATACATTAAAAACAACGGCAGCCCCGTGAAGTACGGCCAGTGCTGGGTCTTTGCTGGTGTATTCACGACAGGTCAGTGATGGTCATGTGTGCAGCAATAAACTGTTAAAATATAATAATGGTAAACTGCTAATAGTGTACTAATGTTATTGCCTTTAATCTGCTATGATACTTAATTTATTAAATTATTATTTCATATTACACAAACTAATAATAAAATATAGCTAATAATTAGATATTAATAATTAAAAACATTATTTAACCTTCCTCAACCAAGAGCCCCCCCAGTGAAACAATTACAAAGATACAAACAAAACACAAACAAGCCGCTCCACCGCTAATAATCATAAATGCTTCGTACCTTGAGCAGATTTTCTTGAAGAGAATGGATAAATCCCGGGTTATTTCGATTCAAATATGGCTTCGACGTATATCCTGTTTGTTTCTAAACTGTTTCCTGAAGAAAGGGGGGGTCTGACAAGCATGGGGGACCAGGGGGAAGGGATTTCACTTTCGGCGTATCTGTTTTTATGCTGGGCGATGCACGGCGCATTTTTGATTTTTACTGGCTAACAATTCTGTCAATCAACACCAGGTTACGCCCACCGTCTTCTTGAGACTCTGACACGTCGAACGAGGTGTCATAGTCTGAAATTGACCAATTGTAGGCTGAGAAAGCCTCGCATAGTCACAGTCCAACTGCAGTCAGACAAGAATGGATCCATGGTTTACAGCCTCGGATAGGATTTTTGCTCTCAAAATGATGCCAAACTGCTGTATTTGGATAGATTGAACACTATTGGTGATAAAACAAGTGCAATATATAGTATATAAAAGTACAATGGAACAGCTGGTTCCAATGACAATTTTCCTCGACCTCGCCTGACCTCTCTGTACTAAAACCTCGAACTTTTTTTCGCTTCACTTTATCAAAGCCAACATTTGCAGAGAGACTGCTGACATGGTGTGCTATAATTTAGGGGAGGTTTAAACGTTCGTTAGCACCATTCAAAAGGGATAATCATGCTTTCAGTGGGGTTTTTTCAGGAAAACCTGAAACTTTTCAATTTGAGCTATGTGCCATCTTTATTTGCTATTGACCAGTAACATATACACAATATTTACACATCTGAACAAACCTCACAAGTGTTGCCTGTATTATAACATCAAAAGTATTAAAATAGAGGTTGTAGTTACAGAATTACAGTCTTTTTAGGATGGGTATGCAATTTTCGAGCAGAGGCCTAAAAATAGGGCTAGGGCCCAACGGGTTTTAATATCCTTTCATTGTTTAACAGTAGATTAATATGTATAAGCTATAGTTTGATTAACAGTCAATATACCATTTAACAAAGAGGGTTATAATGAAGTATTAGTTTTTCTTTCTCCTGTGTATTGATTTTACACTGAAGGTGTTTGACCATTAAATGTCTCACAGACACTGACCTCTGACCCCTCATCGCTCTGTTTTCTCTCCAGTTTTACGGTGTTTAGGAGTTCCCTGTCGAACTGTGACCAACTTCAGCTCAGCTCACGACACGGACGTGTCCTTGACAACGGACGTATACCTGGACGAGAACCTGGACCCTATAGACCACCTCAACGCAGACTCCATCTGGTTCGTCCTGATGTCATCATTGTGATGCCGACCTTTTGTTTTTCGCTCTCTGGTTCATTAAGCCTGACCTTGCAGTCTCTCCCTCCCAAAAGGAACTTCCACGTGTGGAACGACTGCTGGATGGCTCGTCCAGACTTGCCTCCAGGCTACGGAGGCTGGCAAGCTGTCGACGCCACTCCTCAGGAGACCAGCCAGGGAAGCTACTGCTGCGGCCCTGCTTCTCTCGCCGCCGTCCGCAGCGGTCAGGTCTTCCTCAAACACGACTGTCCGTTTGTGTTCGCCGAGGTTTGTGGAATATTGAGTTTAACTTTAAATTGGGAGCATCAACTCAAAACACACACACACAAACACCTCCCCACGGACATCCAGAGAGGGACACAGCCTCCTTGGTCTGGGGGTGCATCTTCAGCAGCACAATAAAATATAATAGGAACGCTACAGGCAGCAGTTTGTCTCTATGGTCCACTCGCTCCTCCACGACTACACGTTGCTGCTTCTCACTTGGATTTATCAACACACAGCACAGTTAGACACACACAGATGTCAGTATGTGTCCTTCGCATATCTCAAGAACCGCTGATCCGATCTACTTCACACTTTGGTGGGTGTTTTTCTGGGACCCCACTGAATGCTTTAGCGAATTGTTGCAAATTGGACATGTGATACATTCAATATTAATTACATTTGCATAAACAACCGATCAGCGCTCTGTGTAGCTTCAGGGCTCTGCGGACCTGAGCAGGTCGTTCATATGGGTTTACCAACGTTACAACCAAAGTCTCCTTCACTTCCCTGCAGCACATCTGGAACCCCTCTGCTCCTGCACTCTCTCTGCTGAGGAATGGAGAGGGGATAAAGGGGAAAGCCCCCCCCGTCCCCCATAAAAGTTGCAAGACTTGCAAAATCCGCCTTCGTCCCCCCCGCCCTCAAAATTCGCCTACTGCTTAAAAGAGCCCTCCAGAAACTCTGTACATAAAAGTTGCAGGACTTGAAAATAAGGGTCCCAACAGGAGAAAAACACTCAAAAAGTCAGTTTCTTCCTCACATATTTTGACCTACGGGAGTGAACAGATCTTTCGGTGGTTTTGTGTTGACAGATTCGGCGTGTGCTGTGTGCTAATCATGAGCCGTATGGCCTTCATCAAACGATGCGTGGCATTTCCCATCTGTTCAGGGCTTTGTTTTCTAACTCTCTCTCTCTCTCTCTCTCTCTCTCTCTCAGGTGAACAGCGATAAAATCTACTGGCAGAGGAACTTAGATGGGACCTTCAGTCAGATCTACAGTGAGAAGAAATTGATGGGCCGCTTCATCAGCACGAAGGCTGTTGGCACCGATGAACGCAATGATATCACAGACCTTTACAAATACACTGAAGGTATCGTCACGCCAACGGAGATCACATGCACTCAAAAATGGTGTTCGTACTTTATTGAATTAACTCAACAGTTCTGGTCTTTCTCAGGGTCTGTGAAGGAACGCATTGCAGTGGAGACAGCGTGTAGCTATGGCTCCAAAGCAGAGGCCTACTCCTCTCCCACGGCGGAGGATGTGTCCGTGGAAGTGACCATGGACGGCGAAGGGCCGAAAATGGGGAGAGACGCAGAGCTGACTATCACGTTGCGCAACGACAGCTCAGAGCAACGTATGTTCATCCTCCACGGCCAGGTGGATGTCATATACTACACCGGCGTCCACAAGGCCACCGTCAGGAAGGACAAGACGGAACTGGACCTGCGGCCCAACGAAGGTGAGTGGAAAATGGTAAAAATCTTGATGAACACTGAAGAAATCCTAATGGGAGAAGCTGACTGCAATGAAGACAACAACTCCCATGATCCCACGCTGCTTCACGATGTCACCAAACTCTGAAGTCTTCTGTCATTGTTTCGATTGAGAGCAGCAGAAAATTACACATTTTGCACTTAATATGATATATGATTGTATGTTAGCTTAGCTTTGCACAAAGACTGGAAACAGCCCTTACAGTACCAGCCCTCTAAAGCATTTTCTTTGGAACAATTTTTTTTTATATGGTTAAAACAAACAAGAAAATTACAATTAGTGAGCGTTGGAGGTGCAGGTTGGCTGATGTTGTTACATTTGGACAGGACCAGGCTAGCTGTTTCCCCCTGTCCTGCAGTTTTTATGCTAAGCTACGTAGCTATTTACCAGGCAGAAATGAGAGTGGAATTGGTATTGTCATGTAACTCTCGGCAAGAAAGCAAAAATATATAATTAAATCATTTTACTCTGTACAATACTATAAATCTAAAAACCTGCAATGTTGTAAATATGTAAATACTATCTCTGGTCTACAGTACGTTTTTTGAAATGGAGCCTGGAGTACAAAGACTACAAGGACCAGCTGGTCGACCAAGCGGCCCTGATGCTGACGCTGTCAGGCCGGGTCAAAGAAACGCAGCAGGTCCTCGCCACTCAGTTCACTTTCCGCCTCAGGACCCCAGACCTCATCATGAAGGTGGGCCAAACAAATCCTCACATATTACTGGTAATGAAGATTAAGACATAAATTCTGATCTGATTTGGGTTATTCTTCTTCTTCTTCACAGCCAATCGGGAAGGCAGTGGTAGGAGAAAAAATGGCGGTCGAGATTTCTTTTACTAACCCACTAGCACAGGTGCTGAAAGCGGTGATATTCCACGTGGAAGGACTGGGCCTCCTAACTGCTAAAAAGATTCATTATGGGTGAGTGGCGGGGGGGGGGGGATACTTTTATTTTAACTTTCTTTTTTAACTCTGTCTGTCTGTTTTAACTCTGTCTGTCATTTCCTGTCCTGTCCTCAGAGATATTGGCAGTCATGCATCCGTGTCTCTGACTGAGCACCTCGTCCCCTCCCTGCCTGGACCGAGGAAATTACTGGCCTCATTGGACTGCAAGCAGCTCACGCAGGTTCACGGGGTGACCGACATCACGGTGGAGGAATAAAGCAACGGCGCTCTGTAGCAATTCATTCGTATGGAAAGTTGGTGCTTAAATAATGACCACAGAGAGAGAGACGGGTAATCATGAAGCACTGAAGAGAAAAGTTGGACAGAAGCTTTTATATGCTCTGAAAACCAGTATTGGCTCCAACTCATCACATTTACTTTTGCAAATTGTGTATTGAGATCGTTTTTTTAAGGCCGTTTATTTCAATATCAAAATACTGCTGCAAATGCTCTTGTATTATTCAAACAAAGAGAATTTAAAATGTAGTCTTGAGTCTGGTGATTGTGACATTAGAGAGCAGTGTGTTTCTGGTGTCATGAATGTTTGGTTGCCGTAGATTCACGGGGTTAGTTACGGTGTCGCGCCGCCGTGTTGGAGGACTAACGGCAAAACAAATAGAAGATACCAGAAGTCATTTTACAGGATACAGAGCAAATAGTGAGCCCCCAAAATGTTAAGATGCGTCTGCTTTGCAGGAAGAACTTGAAGCTGAAATACAAAAATGATCGTCTGTGCGCTGACCATTTCATCGAAGCTGAGTAAGTGTTAAATATCAAAGCTAGTTGGTGAACTCAAGCGTGTAGCTGGCGTTAGGCCTCCTGACTGGTAATGCTTTTGTTCAGCTTGTTTAACTACTGACAGCGAGTCAACTGAATGAATGTTAGGATACCAACAGAGCTAGCGTTAATATTTTCCTCGGGTTTAGCTAGCAAGCTTCATACATGTCAGGATAACATCAGAATGTCGATATCAAATTTGAAGATGCTCTCAGTCAAATTCATCTTTTACTTTTCTTGTCCATAGAATGTGTATATAAAAAGTGGACTTGGTCACTTTAAAGTCAATGATGAAATATGTAGTTCGTCATTTTGGCCGTCACTATCTTGTTTTTTGCACCCAGAAGTGATAGAAGAGGGTGGAGCTAAGTGCAACCGAACGCTAAATAAGACATTTTTCAGATGACCAAAAATGTTACAATGAACTTTGATGAAGTGAAAACGCACTGGGAAAGAGTTAAAGTTCTAAGACAAAAACACGGACAGTCGCCCCCTGATGGACATGAGAGAGAATGCAGGTTTAACATCTGCATTGGCCTCACTTTTAAAAACCTTTGGCTCTTTTTTGCTAGACATAATGCACCCAAAACATGGGGAAGTGGACACAGAGTGTGCCACTGTAACTGTACAGTGTGATTTAAGAAGTGCCCGAGTTTTTACATAATATTATCATGTGTATTAATAACATCAATATTTCCTTTTGTGATATTGTTGATACCCGTCTATCCCAACGCCCCTAACTTGAACTGAAGGACGTTCTGATATCGCAGAGACGGGAAGAAAAGAGATCAAAACTGTTGAAACATGAATTGAATGCATGTTTGTTACTTCCACTCCCAATATACCATTTCCTTGAGTCAATGTTTGTATGTTTACTGAGAGGAAGCTCCGCTGTTTAATATGTATATGTCTTATGAGATATGTAAACTTGTTTGAGAAACGCTTGTTTACTTGTGTTCAGTCTTTCTGCTC